TCGGCGCATGGCATCGAAGCGATTCCTATTTGATTTTATTCTTTTCCGATCGCGTCCGCTGCTGGATTATGTTATATATCTCTGGCTTCTTTTTGTGTCAACTCGATATTTTATAATTGTACCTTCAATAATGATTATAATCGTAATTACAGTCGCAATTTATCAAAAAAAAAAAAATTTTTTATTTTTCAAATTCACAGAAAATCGTGCACTATTGGTGTTAATATTAATAAATCATGAATGTAACATCCAGTAATTGTGCTTTATAAAGAAGTTATCAAGGATTTGTTAACATGAGTGATTACGCGGGAATAATTTAGATTGATTCCGATTTAAGTATACTTTGCGTTCGTACTGCGGTACGTTTTAGTGGAATATAATTTTTATAGCGCGCCGAGCGTAGTAATAATGATCACGTCGTTGTTCTGCTGCTTCTTGGAACCGAATATTTGTCTTTATTTATTATAACATTATTACACCGCAGATGATTCTCTTCGTCTCGTTTGTCGGACGACCCATATCAATGTCAGGCGCCGCGCGGGCCGCTCTCGTTTCGCTATTATTTGTGTTCGAAACTTTTATGACCCGGCTTCCATCACTCACGCGTCTTCGGCATCGGCGGCGCGTCGCGAGACGAGAATCGCTTTTCGCGAAAAAATGATTAATCGCCTCACGCGCTTAGGCCGCAGATGACGGTTTAATCATTGGATCGAACATTTTTATAAATGATCGCCGCAACAATAAAAATATTCGGAAAAGTTGCTCGTTTAACTTTTCTATTTTAAGGCACAGTCACAGAGTCACAGTCGCCTTACTTAAACCCGGCCGCAGCGATAAAAACCTGCGCGCACATTATATAGTTTTTTAATTCGAGTGTATGTGAGAAGAAGGCTGGTGATCATCTCTGCGCTCTCGGGTATGTACTTGGATAAGTATAAGTACACTCTGGTTTGTTTGCCGGTTTGCGGGATTATTTCGGTCTCGGCGCGTCCTTGCCGACTGACCAAGGCCGCGCACCATCATTAAAACCGATCCGAATGCGCGCGCGATTGGTCGCGTTTTGATAGCCTTCTTTTCCGTACAACCAACAACTCTTTGTACTTTGTAATAATTTAATTTTTTAATTCACAGGGTATACAGACGAAAAATATTTCTGGAAATATCGTATGACAGCGATAATTATGTCAGACAGTAAATGTTTCATCATGTTTGCGGTTTCGTGGTGGGTAAACACTCAACCACCACACAAATCAACAAAAAAGAAAGCATTCAAATATTGACATACTCTTGAAAATGCATAATTAGTTATAAATAACGATGTGAAATACATGAGCGCATTATCTAAAAATAATCATTATGCAATTCAGTAAAAATTAGAAAATTGATTATCCTGAGGATAAAAAATCTAAAAAATTAATTATGTTATTATTTTGAAACTTTCATCACATGCCTGCATAATCTAAACCCATGGCTAATCAATTTCGTTCCAGAAAAACACATTTGCATCAAATTTATTGAAAATCATATTAAGTAGTTACACATAACTTAAAGTTATGACGATGAAGTTATTTAATATATAGAAATATTTTTACGCCGCAAAGCCGCATTTATCCAAAGTGCACATAAAATAGCTGCCGTGACCAATCATGCGCAATCAAAAATATGTTTAAACTAAATGTTTATCTCTCGCTGCGTGCGCCGTTTCGCGCACCGCACACCGCAATGTACAGGCATACTAGTAACGTTATTGCCATTCGGATCATCGCCGAGATAAATTGCATTATTTGCTGTTTCCAGCGGAAAGCAGCTGCAACAGCAGCAGCATCTCTCGCGCGGTGCATCTCTGCACTCTTGCACTAATGACAGTAATGACGTCATAAGGAGCTTTATTATACGAATACACCGTTTTCATGAGTTTCTAACAGTATCTCGCCGGCATATATCATTGTCACTTACGAGACGCAAACAAATTGACACAAAGAGCTACTACTGCTGCTACTTGTGTGTCTGTGTGTGCGGGAAATATGATGATAGACTATCACATATCGCTATATCTACAATTCGCGGTGGTCTTTTACGATACGCACTCGCCTCAAAAAGTCAGCGAGGTAGCTGGGAGTATAAAATTAATTTAATAATCATCATCATCATTGAACTTTTAGCAATATCGCGGTAAATTGGTTTATTTTCATACGCCACACGAGGCGCGCATTAATTACATCATTATTATAACAGTTTTGATACTAATCTGCGCATTACTCATCGCGCATTTGAACATTTCTCATTTCGCAGTGACAGCGGCGAAACGCATAAGGAAACATTGCGGTGAATAAGCGCAAAACATTAATATCGCCATCAACCAACATCCAACAATGTCCAAAAACATCTCCGAAGCTTCGGAGAGAGCTTAAATTTCCACCGGTTAATTAACTCTAAACAAATTGTATGGGCGAAAAACCAACTGCTAATTGATAATTAAACTTTACACCTTGGCATAGATAGTTTATGCCGGTAATACGTGCGTAGGAATTGATTTTAGCTCCTCTTTTTTTCATTGAATGGCGAGGTTTTTATAAGGATACTTAATTCTTGCGCTGCATTCGCATGCGCAGTAAATCATCCCGATAGCAATTTTCGAATTTCTGACATGTTTACGAGCACGATGCGGCGGCGTTTGCCATCGACAATAAATACTATTTGCCGGCATTAATTAGAGGCGTAACAAACCATCATTAACAAGACTAAACAAACTAAAATTTAAAAAAATTTAAAAACCGCAAATTTTCCATTGTCAAATCAGCAAAACAAGTTGTTATGCAACCGTGACAAAAATAGAAGTAATGAAAAGATTATTGCAAGACGACAACGCGCATAAAATTAAACTCGGTTTAATTAGCAGCGTATAAACAACAGATATGAGCATGCGCTCACGCGACGCCGATGCACAGCCACGAATGGTGCGTGCGACGAATGCATTCATACACTCGACGACGACGCCATTAGAATATCCAGCTTGATTAGAATGCATAACTCGCGATCACCATTCGCAATTCACGACTCACGATCGCCGATTGAACGACGACGCATTATTATGAATATTTATTTAACGCCAGATGCGCAACACAGATATTCCAGCGATGAAAAAAGAAACAACAGTAAGCATCCAACAGAAAGGTGAGAAAATCTAGAACGTGGAAATTCAGTATTGTTACAGAAGCTGCATACAGTTGTAACACAACAACAGAAAAAAAACTGTTATAATATAATAAAATAAATAAAAATAAATAAAACATAATTTTAATTAGGTGTATGAGGATAAAAGTCGTCGTCATGTCAATAACATTTGAGTGCTTCTGAAATATTTCTATCATTATCAAATAGCAGATCAAAATAGCTCATAAAAGCCCGATTGAATGTAAGAATGTGTCCGAGAATTCGTGACGTTAAGTTGACGCAAAACATCCATCACACCCGGTAGTACATAGAGCAGTAGTAAAAGCAAATTAAAACATTCAAGTGGTCCAAGATTAGAACACACTGGCGCACTGTGTGTGTACGTGTGTGTCGTCATGCCTGAGTTCATTAAGCAACCACCCAACTTGATCATGGTTGCAGGATGGAGGATTTTATGGAACGTTAAATCTGGTTGTAAAACTTCACTGGGCGCTTGGACGCGTGTTTTTATTCAATGTCTATCATAATTATTGAAATATTTTCCCAGGATGCGAGCAACAAATCGAACAAAACGGAATAAAGAAAAGAAGAAAAAAACACACGTAAATGAATGCAAAACATTTATAAATTTCTAGTTATAGTTTTGTAATCATTTTTTTTATCGTTTAATAATGCATTAATGCATTTTCATGACGCAGCGCTGGTCATAAAATCGAAATTTATTGATACCATTAGTTTATTTCACTTTACTTTAATTGCATTTCTCCTTTATGAGCGCTTATTAAATTTTCGTCTCGGTCTTATTAATAGTCAAAAATAATAATTTCGTATCTATTGTTCAGTGGTTAGTTACCTAACTAGGTTAGATTTAGTATAAAATATACTCAAGCATAAAAATAATAACTGGCCGAAATTCTAAAAATTTTAATTTTTGATTTTAAACTATGTCTGCACAGTTATGTTAATATCCAGAAATTTGTTTCGCTATTTAACTGTATACAAAGATAAAAATCGGCAAAAATCACAGACACATAAATGCAACTTTGAATAACTATGAATAGCATTCGCATCATGATGCGCGGAATGACGGAATGCAAAAAACGTAAAATTCTGCCAATAATTACGGGAATTATGTATACCTTCTGCCGATGCAGGGATTTTTATCGGTGGCTGCGCGTTGCGACGCTTCGGCGTAATTATTGCTCGCCGGGCGTAATTACGCCGAATGTAACTTATGGTCTTTTCACTCAATTCGCACAAAGGCGCGCGCGCGCATGCGAAATTATATCGAACGAGACCAATAATTAATACCTACGCGTAATGGACTTTAAAAAGTGTTTTGCCGTTGTAAATTGCATGTGTTCTTCGCTTTTTTGCGTGCAAGTTTGTACGCGGTGAGGCCAAGTAACCCAAAATTAACCAGCTAATAACCTTAAGGTTATTTTTTATAATAACTAATTATTTATACGTTATCATGTAATGAGATTAATAAAAATTACCAAGTATGTTTGTATTTATGTTCATTTTAGCGTAAATTTTAGAGTGGAGATACCAATGCGCAACAAGCGAGTAACCCAAATATAAACGCAAATAACTCATAAACTAATTGAGATAAATCCATGCTCTAAACAAGATAATCTCGAGAATATCACAGATTAATGAAAAATATGTTTTTCGTAATTATTAAAGTTCCCATAGGTAAATTACGCTGAATAATTAGAAATGCAATTTATTCGTTTTGTGTTAGATTGGTTGCCGCAGATACGCGCCGTCGTCGTCGTCGTGAACTTGCCGTGTGTATACCTATTCCATTCGCCCGGTGGAATCGAAAAGTTGATCGAGAAGTCGCTCTCGGGTGCTGTGGTTGCTCGTTACTCGTACCGAGCGTACTGAGAGCGATTCCGCGGTTACTTGCGTTTCGCACACAAAGTCGCGCGCTCGCTCGCGGACTCCGCGGACGCAGAGGTATCTCAGGTGCGAACGCGTCGGAGAAGGACGGCGGCGAGCACCAATCCGGTGCTGGGGCTTCATGGTCGGCGCGCGCTAAGACGCTTCGCTTCTTTGACTTACCAGTCTAGTAGAAGACTTTGAGTGAGTAGCTAGTACCCTAGTTCAAAGTGGCGAGATAGGGGCACGAAAGGCCCTGGCAATCATCGGCCATGGCGACTGGTAAGTTCACAACACACGCACAACTAACAAAAACAACCCTCTCTTGCCGAGCAAAATAATCCTTGCAAAAACCACTCCTTTCTATAACCCAGCAGCTGGTCGAAATATCAAAGTGCAAATATTGGATTAAAGTGTGTAACAAAAGTGTATAAAACACTTAAATAATGTTCTCGTGTGTGAAATAAAAACGAAATAAACTTGTGAGATATGATAAAGACTTTGAAAAGAACGAGAAAAACAGATTTTGCGGAAAAAAGTTTTGCAAAAGCAGCCCGTCGCCATCGTTGCGCTCTCGCTCAGCTTTCGTCCGTGCAACAACACAACTTGGTCGGCGTTTTGGTTCCATTGGTTGGATATGGTCTCTCGCCAAAGATTGCGTTCACTTCTTCTCCCACGACAAGAGAAAACGACCTAAATCTGACCGTAAAAAAGCGTGCGAGCAGTACGCATACAACAGAGTTTAAATTAGCATTAATAACAACACTTTTCGACGATCGAAATGTCAAATATAACTATAGAGTGACCACCGCCTGGATTATATCGCCTAAAAATAAACATGTGTGATGAAAACTAAACTATCCAAAACATTAAACATAAAACCAACGCGACACCGGCTCGAATTCCAATCAGATTCCCATCCGAGTACAATTGTCCAACTAAAAAATAAAATGCGCCATAGTAGCAGACACAACAAGAAACTTTCTTTTCGGACGTTTAACGCCACACGACGTAATTGTAATGCACACATTATCGAAAGAGCAGCAAGACGTCATTAACACACTCGGCGCGAGACGCGCTCAAATTAAGTAATCAATATTTATTAAGCGCGGCGAAGTTATTAAGAAATTATTTTCGTGTCAGAAAAGAGTCTGCATTACATTTTGAGCAATACTCATCACTTGCCAGCTTGTTAGACGCCAAGATTAAACAAAAAAAAAAAAAAACCTAAGTCTTCTTACCGAAGGCAAATTGCACTTTCGCGTGTTCAAATCCCAAAAATATTAATTCACCAATTCAGGTGCTAAAAATAGCACACTTTGCATATTTTCGCCGTCAGTTTGATTTAATTGCAGCTTTCGCACTTCGGTGTGCCCTGTAATTTGCAAAAAAGGGAGAAAATGTTGCGTGCATCCGGAGCGCCCAACAGGCGATTAGGCGAGTAACCCAAGGGGATTTGAATGCTCGCACTCTTAGAAAATAATTGCACATGTGCGCTCTCGCATGCATCGATTCAAATATTTTTACACCGCAAACAAGTCTCTCTAACTCTAAACGTTTAACTTTTAAAAAATTAAATTTTTTCTCTCTTTCCGAAACGACTTTTTATGTTTTTATGGCGCGTTTTTACTGTAAAAGGATTAAAATCTAAGGGAATATGATCATTATGATTGTACATCTTCTCCAGCGGCGTGTCATTGCCGAGATGAGATTTATGCGCCGCGCCACGCTGATGACGATACTCTCTCGGCGGGTTTCGTAAACTGGTAAACTCATCTCGAAAACAACAAAAACCAACAGGCGCATCAGCATCACACGCTCGGTCGCATGGCGCACATTCCGAGAATGCGAATCCAAATTAGACACACATAAATTTTCATGTAAAAAGCATTTCACACATCAGAAAAAGTTATTTTTCCCTTTTTATTATTATTACTGTGCGTGTGTTCATTAATAGAAAGCGTTTTTTAATAAATAATTCCGCTTTAATTTACGACGAGTTAATAAAGTCGGCACTCTACACACACGCTCCGTAGTTTATTGTATCGGATATTCTCGTGCTGGATTTTCGGGTCTCACATTCGAGAGTGTGATGTAATTTTTATCGGGGCCCCGTTTTTTCCTCGTGGCTTGTGTATTTACCGCCTGCCCTGGTGGCATCGCGGCATCATTACACCTGTTTGCTTCCACCGTGCATAACACATATTTGCTTCCTGGCGCATCCAACGCTCAACCAACAAAACAGAAAAGAAAGAAAACAAAAAAAGCAAGATTGCACACAGGTAAAAGTCGGCCAAGAATCTACCTGACTACCTGACTGCCCCAAAAACCTTAAAATTTATCTTCAAAAATAAAAAATAAAAACCACAAAACAAAAAATACGTTCTGACGCTTCTTAATTCTATTTTATCTTTGCCTCTGTATGGCTACAAATTCATTTAACATTTAACTAATCGGTTAACACCGAGATAAATTTAATTGTGAACTCATTCTCCTCCTACAAGAGCCCGGATCGCATCATCATCATCGCCGCGGGGAGATGCATTCTAATCGATCAGTGATCAATCTCAATTAGTACTAATACGAGATTATTAAATTATAACTGGGAAATTTTATGAACTCACGGTGACGATTTATTTCTCCAGCGGAATTTCTTCATTGTACAATGGAAGGAAATCGATCGCCGGCCATCAAACGTCCGATATTTATTCCGCACACGCGTGTTTGATCATTCGACGTGTGTGAACAAATGCTCACGAAGGCATTGTGTGCGCACGATGAAAGCTCAGCTCGTATCGCACATGTTGAGCTCGCGCAAAGTTAATAACCGAATATTGAGCGACGGAAAAAAGTTTATTGACCCATTCGAATGTCTCGAGACACTCTCGTCGCTTTTGCTCATGATTTATCTAGGCGATTTTTTAGCGTGTAAAAATTTAAAGCCCACAGGTGACGATCATAAAATTATTAATTTTTAAACACCTCATCTCAATTTATGCCTCGTGTAGGCTTTAATTTTTAAAATAAAACATTTTGCAAAAACCCAACGAGAAAAAAAGGTATCTGACATGATGAATTGATGATGTCAGTCATGGGCGATGCGAGCACCATTAGCGGAAACTACGAAATTTTTAATTTACCTTGAACATCCTACGAATTCTAAACGCAATCAAACAGAAACACAAGAAAAAAAAAACACACGTCGAGAATTCACACCGAACCAAAAAGCTGTTAATGTATGAATAATATTGTATTTAGGACACGTTGCAATGCAAGACGTCATCGCACTTTCTCTCAGCACACGTCTCAAAGTGTGTGGAATATTTCTGTTTGCAGTCATAATATCATGCGCAATATTACTATTCGTGGGCGCGTGATCAATCTGCGATTGTTTCGCACTCTAACCATCTGAAAATCGCAAATATTTCCGCGCAAACTTCGAAAAATCAATAAAAATCGTCAAAAATAAGCAGAAAATTCAATTTTACGGGGTTGACATTTCGATTTTACTCGCATGACCTGGTTATTAATAAAAGACACGCGTGAAACTAAACACTAAACAAAGAAAAAAAAAAGCTGGTCGTAACCTCGCAACCTCAATCAAGAAAGTTTTATTTTATATTTTTTATTTTGTATTCAAATCTAAAACTCCTACGGTGCGCTTGCCATTTATGTCGCGTTGTGTGTAACACGAAATTTCTTTTATTAAGTTTCACTAATTTAATAATTACTCATTTATTCTATTTGCTAAATGAATAATTTGAGTAACACGCAATTGCTCTTTAATGAAGTATAAAAAGAATAAATGAAACCGAAAACGTTTTTTTTGTTTGGGCGTTGATTAAGCAAAAAAAAAAAGACAAAACGTAGGCAGCACATAAATTAAAACATTAACATCAATTTGGTTTTTATAATGACTCAACAGTGTAAATATACCAACCTTTATTCCAAAGTAAAGAGTAATGTTGGCATTTTTTCTAGTCGCATAGATAGAAACTTGAATTCAACTTCAACTGGTGTTTTGCTGCTGACAAACCTTTGAACGTTATTTACCGAAGTAGCAAGGCCATTCGCATGTGTGTACACACGGCGGCTATTTGTTGCTGCGCCGCCTGCTAAATGTTAACCGGTAAAACGTCGATGGCATGAATTTCAATAGCTCAAATTATAAGCCATTACAAAGTACGTATATACACGTCCAAAATAAATTTTTTGACGTTAAAAATTTTGTGTTGTCTCATTTAATATTCGTTGATATGTGCACAGCGGGCGTCCGCCGCGGCCCTATCCTAGTAAAACTAAGAAATCTTCGTTAAAACTTTCCGAGAGTGCATGAATCGTCGTGTTGTGAACTGCTGGTGCTCGGATAATTTGATTTTTTTATTCCGCCGGCGTTCCACGCTCCCGTGCTACGGCAGAGTCATGTGATGTGACTTAAGTCTTTTGGTAGCACAGTCGGGAGAAACAGTTAGACGCACACTGACGCCGAACAAAAGCTTCCTGCGCGCATTCTCATTCTCATTCTCTCAGGAGAACACAGCCATACATATTCAATTTTAATTTTATTTTTAAAAATAATTTTTTAACGCACAGAGAGAAGAAAAAAAATGGAATAAAACACAAGTGAAGCATGTGTCTGGTAAATGGTAAAACTCAACGCAATTAAATTGCATTAACGGCTATTTTATTTGTCCGCGGCGATATAATGCACACGCAGGATGCACAATGGCGGTTTATTAATGCCGAACGGTTGTTGCATTATGTAAGAGAGTGCCGGGGTATTACGATATCATTACTAGCAGCGCGCGCGAAATTTACATTTCGTCTAAGTCAGTCACACATGCGCACAGAGAGCTACACTCTCGCATTCGTTTTCATTTATCCTGCGCGCGGCGGCATTATGCGTTAATCGCGTGCGCGCGCGGAATGAAAGACGCTCAGCATTGAGAAATCCGAGGATTGAATTGATCCGCCTCGGACAATGGCAAGCACAAACGAAATAAAACCGCTCTGAAGAGTGCAACACCGTAATCCCCCACTTCATCAGCGCATTTCTTTCATTTTCTCTTCTGTGGCTTAGCAGAAAATAGCAATTAAACAAATAACGAACAAATAAGCCACTTGACTCTTAAGATAGATAGATTATTCTCTATCGTAACACGCATAAAACATACTTAAGTCACTTCGCAACTGAAATATATCGCAACTTTTTTCTGATTTTCTATTTTTATTAATAAAAGTATCAAGAAACAGATGTTTGAGTAATTGTGAGCAGAGCACAG